CGCAGATAGAGTCAAAGAAGCGAGATTACAAACCTTGATGTCGGAATTCGATCGCCTGAAGATGCTCGAGTCAGAAACAATCGATAGCTTTGCCGGAAAGCTGTCCGGAATCGCGTCTACATCGTCGGCATTAGGAGAAACGATTGAGGAATCAAAATTAGTGAAGAAATTCCTCAAATCATTACCCAGAAACTTCATTCACATCGTTGCATCTCTTGAACAGGTACTAGATTTAAAATCGGTAGGGTTTGAAGACGTAGTGGGTCGATTGAAGGCATATGAAGAAAGAATAAGGGAAGTCGATGCTGGAGAAGGACAATCGAGGGTTCTATTTGCCGAAAAATCGACCGGAGATGGAGGTGGGTCGTCGACTGGTGGGGTAACTCATCGGGAACGAAGGGAAATTGGAAAGGATCGATTGGGTCTAATAAAGCAAATGAGTTTAATGGGACTAATGGGTCAAGTGGATCCGGATATAGTGGGTTATCCAGGTCGGGCGGATCAGGCGGGCCCAAAGGGAATAATAGGGTTTCTCAAAGCAGTCGGCCCAATAAACTGTCCAATTCTAATTCTGATTGCAAAAATTGTAATTGTTGTTGTGGGAAGAATCAGAAAAATAGGGAAAAGGATCGATCTAAGGTGATTTGTTTTCGGTGTGACAAACCGGGTCACTTTGCTTCTGAATGTCCAGAACGACTCCAAAAATTAAAAGACGGTGATTTTTCGGAACGTGACGACAGTGACGAATCCGTTTTTTAAATACGGATCGGGTTGAAGAATTCTCTAGAAGGACTTAGAGATTCGGGGGTGATTGTTGGAATCCTAAGTCTTGGGGTCCAAGCAATCTAATTTATGGAAAGTTTAGTTTATGGCAAGTTGGTCATAAGTTTCCTAGTCTAATACAAGTTGGTATGTTAGGTTATATATACGTGTCCATAATCGAGTTTATGATTATGAGAACAGATTGTAAAAACATTGGTTTTGAGTGATTTTCCAATTAATCAAAGAGTTATTTTGGTTATTTGTTTTGCATTCTTGTTTTCAAAACTTTAGAAACGACAAATATATATTAAAGAGATGATACTTACACCTAGCAAGGAATTAGATGTAGACCGAAAACAAAATACAAAGCAAATTAGAAATTACAAATCAGAAAATGGAGAAACTGACCACTCCTCCTAATTACAAATACTATTCTTATTTCTATGCTTCAACCAGTAAAAAACCATTGACTTTATAAAATCAATTCCTTGAGACGGTGAAGTACCCTCCATTTGAAATAGTCGTTTATTTCTGAACCTCCATAAATTCCACAGCAAGCCATAGCAGATAGCAACCAACCTTTCTCTTTTTCTATGGCAGTTACATCTGGTGGCAGCCAGGTGAAGAAGATCATAGACATTCTTTATAGAGTCATGAGCATTTGATAATCCACACCAACCCAAGATGTTATTTCTAATCATAGTCGCGAATGGGCAGTCCATAAGGACGTGTCCTGAACATTCAGGCGCCCCAATGCACGAACAACACTGCATGGAGTTTACTACAATACCCCTCTTCTCCAAGGCCACAGTAGTTGGAATTCTATCTTGTACTCCCCTCCAAATAAAACATATCACCTTGATTGGTACCGCCTTACACCAAAGAATACCGGAAGTCTTAGGAATGTTGATCTGCGTAGCATCCACAATCTTTCTGAGACAGCTAACCGAGTACCTACCATCACCTAATAATTTGCAACTCCAATGGTCCAGACCCCGCCCCAAGACGAATATCAGTTATATCCCTACATAGGGCAGAAACTGTAGAGTCTAAACCCAGGTCAACCGGTCTAGACTTCCAAACCCATACATGGTTTGAATCTACAATTCTGTCGGATACCTTACATCTTTTCTTTGTTTCCAATTCAAATAGGGAAGGGTATTTAGCCTTAAGATTCCCGGACCCCAACCATGAGTCATACCAGAAGAGTGTTTGTTGCCCCGACTCAATCACCACATTGAATATGTCATGGACATCCAACCCATGCTCTAATAATGCATTCTTAATTCTGCCAATATTATTCCAAACCCTAACACACGATTGATTAGAAAGATATTCAAAGGGCTTATTCAATAAGTTATGGATTCTAGAGATCACGCGGGCCCAATAGGGAACCTCTATCATTCTTTAGTCGCCACCGCCATTTCATTAGTAGCCCAATGTTTAAGGGTTTTATGGAACCCACAACAAGACCCCCATTACTTTTGGCTGCCAACACCTTTTCCCAGCTGACCCAGTGAATTTTCTTACTCTCATCACATCCGCCCCAAAAGGAAGGATCGCCTAATCTTCTCCAATTCCTCTAAAACACCCATTGGAGCTTTGAACAACGAGAGATAATAGGTAGGCAGATTACCAAGGACTGACTTTATTAAAGTTAGTCTGCCTCCAAAAGACAGTGTTTTAGCCTTCCACACAGAGAGTTTGGAGTGAAAATTTTTGATTATAGGCTTCCAGTTTTTAATTAAATTCATGTTAGCACCGACTGGAACACCTAAATAATCAAACGGAAGGGCACCCGCAGCACAACCCAATAAGTTAGCCCAGTGAACAGTTTCAGCCGCATATACTCCAATACCAAAGACCTTCGATTTATGATAGTTCACTTTAAGGCCCGAAGAAATATGGAAGCATCTCAAGATACGAGCCAAGTTCTTGAGATTACTCCGATACCACTTGCCTAAGAACAACGCGTCGTCTGTGTATAATAGGTGGGATATGATCAGACCATCACCCGAGATCAGGACACCTTTAAAGAAACCTTTATCGCACGCCGTTTTGAGGGCTACACTCAATCCCTCCATAGCAATAATGAAGAGATATGGAGAGAGAGGATTACCTTGACGAACCCCTCGAAATATAGGGAATTCCTTCGTCGGGGAACCGCTAATGATCACAGAGGCCCTAGATGAGCTTAAACAACCTCGAATCCACATCCGCCATTTGTTACCAAAGCCCATCTGCTCAAGGATCGAGTCAAGATATTGTCAATTCACCGAATCGAATGCCTTATCAAAGTCGACTTTAAAGAGCAGGAGTTTTTTGCGAGCTCTCTTCGCCCATGAACATACCTCATTGATCATGAGGGGGCCATCAAGAATACAACGCCCCTCCACATATGCAGACTGCTTGTCACCAATTAATTTCCCAATGACTGTTTTTAACTGATTAGAGAGTATTTTACTTATAATCTTACTCAAGCATCCCATTAAACTAATAGTGCGGAAGTCATTCAAAGATAAAGGGTCTTTGGTTTTGGGAGCCAAAGTGATGAATGACGAGTTACATCCCCTAGCAAACGATCCACACTCTTCAAAACGATTCACAAATTTCATCACATCACATTTGATAATGTCCCAATATTTTTAAAGGAACTTGAATGTGAAGCCATCAGGGCCTGGTGCTTTTTCACTTCCACAGTCCCAAATCGCAGCCTTCACCTCTTCAAGACTAATAGGGGATTCTACTCTAATGGCGTCCATCGTTGAGATTGACTTGAACTGCGAGTTAATAAGTTTGGGTTTGGAGACATGATTTTCAGAGAATTTGTTAGAATAAAATCTGAAAACTTCCGCTTTAATCTCGCTAACATCAGTTAACCAGCGACTATTAATCATGAGACCATGTAGGAGATTTCTTCTGTTTTTGTTGTTGATGTACCCATGAAAGAACTTACTATTCTCATCCTCGTCAATGGTCCATTTAACTCTTGCTTTCTGTTTCAGGTCCAAGGCCTTAAGTCGTTCCCACTCCGTTATTCTTTTGATACTTGTGTTCCATACATCCATTTCAGCAGAAGAAAGTGGTCTGGACTCCGCAAGCTTCACTAGATCATTAACCACAGTCATAGTGTCATTATACCCCTTATTTCCAGTAAGGCTCGCATCTCTCCTCCACTTCTTAATCGAGTCCTTCAAGAATCTAAATTTGGCAGCCAAATACGCATCAGGAGTACCATATTCTACAAATTGGTCCCATGCATCCTTTACAATCTAATCAAAACCGTCCCTGAGAAGCCAGGAATTAAATAGTTTGAACGGGATCGGTCCAAAATCTGAGTAAGTAGATATTAAGGAACCAATTGAATGTATGTTAATTGGATTGTTATCTCAACATAACCTCTTATAATTAACAGATGACATTGACAACCAATAGATGGAGCTAGTATATAGAAATATAATTCATCATCAATCTCAAATATGTAGTTATCTCATATGTGTACATACAATTAATAGGTGATTATGACCTTTAACGAGTTTTTGATATTTATAATCAATGTATATGAATTATTAAGGACAAGTGTATAGTTTAAATTGAAATTATTTATCAAAATACTTTTCATTTAATAGGTGTGTGTGGTATGCTAAGTTTATCAAATTTTATATACAACATGCATATATGGGTGGTCAATCAGATTTCAGATGTAGTCTTGGTCAACAACAGTAGTAATGAGTTGATATATATCATGAATTACAACAAAAAATATCATCAAAACTATGTCGATTTGTATTGACGTAAAGTACTCATGAACAGGGTGTAAATTCTTATTTCATAACCAAACAAATCGTTCATATTATTAATTTTGCTCGGTTCATAACATAAGGTCTCATAATCATGCATGCATATGAGTAAATGTGAGTATGTGACCACACATATGAAAGAGAGAGTTGGTTGTGACTTAAACATTTGGTAGAACTACACACAATATATTGTAGGAGTAATTGCAAAACTCAAACTTCACTTGAAGTGCACGTCATGGGGAGTTCTGATGGGGCCTTACTAGTTTCACATTTATTATTTTGCCCCTTTTAGATTCTCCCTTGCAGTTATGCGCTTATTTTATTTATGCTAACCTCATTTACCTCCTTTTTCTCTTCTCCTCTATATAAATCTCATAACCACTCCACAATCTTGGTCACACACACAACGCCTTAAACACACTCACTAGCGCGCTCTCTCTCTCTCTCTCTCTCTCTCTCTCTCTCTCTCTCTCTCTCTCTCTCTCTCTCTCTCTCTCTCTCAAATACATGGTTTCTTTTCATGCATCTCTCTTGCCTATATCAACAATGATTCAAGACTGTGAGGATTCTTCCAGAAAGAGGAAACGCGAGGGGTTGTTACAACCAGAAGATTTCTTGGATGACCTCCCTGAGTCAAAAATTAAATACTCAAAAAGATCGGTACTTGACACTGAGCTTCATCTTGAGACTCCCATGCCCTTGGAGTGGCAACGATGCCTCGATATCAAGGTAATTGAAATATAAATCACATAAGTAATTAAAATACTTTGTTCTTAAAGGTACTTTTGTTTTTCTAGAAAGACGTAGAGGAACACTTTTGCTTTAAAGAAACCCCTCAACTTTTCTTTCAAAATTAAACCGGTTTCAAGTTATTTAGTGTGATACATCCACGTGACCAAAAGTTTCATCATTTGAGATGAAAAATATTTTCATGATTTTCAGTTTTTTGTGTATGAAAAAGTTTAAGCTTTTTAAGTGAATTATGAAGTTCGGCAAGAGACCGAAAGTCTTAACTTTTTGGACGCTTCAAGTTAAGAAAATCGTTAGGTAATTAATTAACTGAAATATACATCGGTTCTTCAAGCAAACTCTTTTATGATTGAATTACTCTTATTTCCTCAAATATACATATATTTGTTTACAAGCACCTCAATTCTTCATTTATTTTTTAATTCTTATACTATTCTATCAATGCAGTCTGGCCAAATATACTATTATAACACAAGAACTCATAAAAAGACTTCAAAGGATCCGAGACGCAGTCCAGAACCACCCAATAACATGAGTCTTGATCTTGAGCTCAACCTACCCTGTGGATCATCCGATACAACAAGGAAACATCATGTTGCAGACAACTTCTCAAAGTTCAAGTCTCTAAGCACAACCTCCAGCAAAAACGGCAACGCTGGTGGTGGAGCATCCTCGTGGTTGGCGTTGGAAGGCGGAGATCAACAACAAGAGATGGTAACAGCAGTGTGTAAAAAGTGTCATATGTTGGTGATGATGTTCAAGACTTCACCTTCATGCCCTAATTGTAAATTCATGCATCCACCCAGTCAAACCCCTCCTAGTCTCTTTACCAGAGAATTAAGCCTCTTGTGTTAACTAATCAAGATTTAACTATTAATTAAGTGCCTTATTTATTTTATTATAAAATTAACTGATGAATGTGTAAAATTTTAGTTAATTACTATAAAAAAAAGTAGTTTTCTGTCTTCTCAGTTTTCATACACCGATTAAAAAGAATTAAACACGGACGGAATTAGAAAGGTTTGCTTTTGTTGACTTTCCGTTATAAAAGTAAGACGATCGAGATTCGGGACATACAATAGTGAAAAGGTGTGAAGAGATTAGCAGGCCAGTTATCTCTTAAAAAACTATTGTAATTAACAGAATTATTTAAAATTTATAATTAGAAGTTATAAATTAGTCTAGACTACGAATTTTCTGGTTTATGTATTCCGTGTATATTTGATTTTTGACATAACGAATGTATGGTCTTTTTGGTTTAATCCAAAACTTAAAACAGATATTAAATAAAACCCTGCTACAGGATGATGTAAGGCATATACTGAAGTGTACCCGACATCCCTTTTCCCAAAGTTCATTTGTGATAATATTAAAAGATGTAAACGGGGCTTTTATGATTCATCGTTCACTCCAGGTATTGCTAATAAGACACCTTTTAGACATTCTATAATTATTTTTTATAAAAAGTTAACCTATAATCAACTTTTTGTAATCATCTTTTTCGGAAAACAATGCAATTTCAACTAATAAAAATATTTCAAACATTAATTAAGGTTGTCTAAATAGTAAAATAAGGTGTCTTTTTAGCCTTCTATGTAATTTTTTTTCCTACTGTATTATTCTTGTATATTTAGGGCTATAAACGAATTGAATGAAAAAAAAACGAAAGGTTGTTCATGTTCGTTCATTTAAGTTAGCCGAAGAAATATAATAAATGATATTGTTCATGTTCGTGAACGTGCTAGACGAACATAAACGAACGAAGATAAACAAAATTAATTAAACATAAAAAATACGTATAATATAGCAATGTAATAAACGAATGTAAACAAACAACATAAACGAACGTTCACAAACATAGTTGAATGAACGAAATCATTGTTTATGTTCGTTCATTTAACTAAACGAATGCAAGTTTATGTTCAACTTCATTTATTTATTAAATAAACAAACATAAACGAACTTACCGTTAAACGGCTCACGAACAGTTCATTTACACACACACACACACATGCAGTACATGCATTTGAAACTTAACGACTTTTCAATATTTTATCAAATAATTATTATAAATTGGTTAATAATGTTAGATTAATGCAAACACTAAATTCTAATCATAAATTTCCTAAACCACAATATTAAAATATTATATTTTACTACTATTTAGAAAATTATGACATTAAATTTTTTAATATATTATGGTTAACTTATTAGTTTAAATATATTGTCATATGTTATCAGTTGTTATATTAAACTCACAACTTTTGTATAATTTATAATTTGATGCAAAATAGTTATTTTATTAAATTAAATATAATTTTAAATGGTTAACTTAGATAAAATTTTAATTAAACTTGAAAAAAATCGATACACTTTTATAAATAGTTAAAAGTTATAAATTATAGTGTTAAACCTAAACTATAATTCTAAATTTACAAAAAAAAAAAAAAAAAAAGAAAAACAACCATGAAAGTATTTTTCTCTAATAATTGAGAATTTTTAAATAAGTAGATTAGTTATAACTTAGAATAAAAATAATTAGAAATAATATTATATAAAAAGTTATAATATTTTCTTTAAAAACAAAAACAATGTTTGTTTTTTTTAAATAATTACAATCAAAGAAAGTAACAACATTTATCAAATAAATTTTGAAAAAGTTAAGTTTCTAAAACTAAATTAAAATAGTTAAAAGTTTCTACATACATTATTTTAAATAACTTATAACAACAATAATTAAAATTAACATTTTATACAAAAATCATATTGTTATCTTTAAATACAAAAATAATTTTTGATATTTTAAATAATTACATTGATAGAAATTAAAATTTTAAGAAAATAAACCCTTTAAAATTAATTAATCGTAACAACAACTATAAATATCATTAAACCCTATGTTATATTTAATTTTATTCATGAGTAAATCGCAGCTAGAGGCCACTAAGACAATTGGAATTATAGAATTTTAAATGATGTCTACATTATCATATAATTCAAAAAAAAAAATTTGTTTATATCAATTTATTATAAGACTTAATATAAGAGCTAAGAACGACGACATTGATATATTTAAAAAAGAATATATTTGTAAACATTTTAAATATATTGTTGTATTCTGCGCAACACGCGGTTATTCGCATATTATATATATATATATATATATATATATATATATATATATATATATATATATATATATATATATATATATATATATATATATATATATATATATCAAGGTTGTAAACAACGTTCGCCGTTAGCTACTCGACGGACTAGAGTTAAGGGATTAATCAGCTAGGCAAGAGATTAATCGGAGACCGTTAATTATTAAAAATTTAATAAATATAACATTAATCGTAAGAATTTAAGTAAACAAGGTTGCAAATAAAAAATATATAATATATAATTAAGTTTTCTTTTTGATTTGTAACCTTATTCATTGAAAATTGTAAACACCCATTTGAGGTGTTGTGCAATCAAAATATGCTAAAAACAATTTCACCTATGCATTTACTCAAACAGTTCGCATGCTAGTTAAATTCGTTCATCATAAACCCAAAACATATAAGTATAATTGACCATTATTTTTTCACCTAAACATTCCATTAATTAAACGAACATTATATATTATATATATATATATATATATATATATATATATATATATATATATATATATATATATATATATATATATATATATATATATATATATACCACCTATATTTTGTGAGACCGTGAGACGCATTTTTTTATTTTTTTTATTTTTAAATTTTTATTTTTTATTTTTTTAGTTAATTCATGTTCCGAAAATAATATTTAAAAAAAGAATTTTTTGATTTTTCCATTTATTTTGCATTTTAAAATTATTTTTAGAATATGTACAGTGTAATATTCTATTTAGAATATTTCACGTATTTTTAAAAAAAAAAAGAATTTTTTTTATTTTTTTAAATTTTTTTTAGTTAATTCAAGTTCCGTAAATAATATTTAAAAAAAGAATTTTAAAATTTTTCATTTATTTTGTATTTTAAAATTATTTTTTAGAATATGTCAGTGTAATGTTCTATTTAGAATATTTCACGTATTTTTCAAAAAAAAAAACGAAATTTTTTTTATTTTTTTAATATTTTTTTTAGTTAATTCAAGTTCCAAAAATAATATTTAAAAAAAGAATTTTTGGATTTTTCCATTTATTTTGCATTTTAAAATTATTTTTATTTTTGGTCTCACGGTCTCACAAAATTAGAATGATCTCAAATGAACTTGAATATATATATATATATATATATATATATATATATATATATATATATATATATATATATATATATATATATATATATATATATATATATATATATATATATATATATATATATATCAGCACGTCTCGAGATAATAAAATATTAGAAATAAAAGAAAGTTATTGAATGAATTTAAAATACCTCAATAACCATCGCCATTAAAGCCCTCAAACATACATGTGTTTTGTTCTTTCATTTTCTTATTTCTTTTGAGTTTAAGGGGGAGTAATGGGTGGTGGTTTACTTTGACTAAATATGCGATGATGGTGGTGCTTCACGTTTTCTTCCTGTTGCAACAAAGAAAAGAAACCAACCTCCTTATCCCTTTTTCTTCTTCTTTCTTGCTTAGTGTGGTTTTTATGGAGGTTGGTCGATGGATGTGTTCCGCCGATGGCTTTCACAATTGTTCTAAGGTGGTTCGGTGGGACTGTGGTAAAGATGGTCTACAGTGGTGATGTTCGCAGGGATGACTGAAGGACCGTGAAGTGGGTGGTGATAATGGTGCTCGATGTTTAAGGGGATGGTTCAAATTTTTTTAGTGGGTGGATGCTTCTTTCGTTTGTGGTAGTTGCTCTGCCGTGAAGGTGAACCAGTGATGGTGGTTGGCTATTGGTGATAATTGACTAAATAGGTGGTGGTTCTTGGTATTTATGGTTCTTGGTTGTAGCAAGGGAAGTTTATGAAAAAAATTGTGTTCACTACAAGAAAAAACTGATATTACATCCAAAGGAATCCATTGCAAAAATTTGAATTCCGTTACAAAAGGTGAATAACGATGGAATTTGCAACGACCTATTTCCATCGCAAAAAACCTCTTAGCGAGGGTTTGCAAGAGAAACAATTATTTTGTTGCAAATGTAACAACGGAATGAAATACATTGTAGAGGGTATTCCGTCGTGTATTTCGTGGTTGTATTCCGTAGCGATTTTCGTAGTACATCATTCATCACAAATTCTATTGTAGTGGATCCCTAGCAAATTCTATGGTGATGAATCCTTAGCAAAATCTATGGTGATGAATCCCTAGCAAAATCCATGGTGCTTATTTTCTAGAAAAATCCGTGGTGATGAATACCTAGCAAAATACGTGGATGAATTCCTAGCAAAATTCATGGTGATTAATTCTTACAAAAATCTTTGATGATGAATCCTTAGCAAAATCCGTGGTGATTAATCCTTAGCTAAATCTATAGTGATTAATCCCTAGCTGAATTTGTTGTACTTAATCCCTAGCAAAATCCGTGTTCTGTACTCCATAGCAAATTACGTTGGATTATTTTTATTTCAAAGTTATATATATATATATATATATATATATATATATATATATATATATATATATATATATATATATATATATATATATATCTTAGGATGGATAATTAATTTACAAATTAAAATTAATTAATTCATACTAATATAAAAACAAATTTAAGAAAAGATCAAATAAAATTTATATCATTAAATAAAAGAATAAATTTTATTACATCGAAAATGAAAGTGACTAATCTAAAATAAATATCTTGCAATAAACACATTAACACTTTATGAATTTTATAGTTGT